GTTACCTGCGGCGTGTATGGGTTACCTGCGGCGTGTATGGGTTACCTGCGGCGAGTATGGGTTACCTGCGGCGTGTATGGGTTACCTGCGGCGTGTATGGGTTACCTGCGGCGTGCTGCGCATGGGGCCATTTACGTGCCGATGGAGATTGAGCTGCGTAAGCCGAATCTGTGCCGGTGCTTTAACAGGGTGTCGGTGGGTGACATGTAAGCCAGATCTGGGCCGATTCACTGACAAAGATGCGGCTTGCAGTATAAATGCCACAGAACGGCCGAGGCCCCAGGCGGGTTGTGGGCGGAGTGAAACACACTTTTGTGGGCCGATTCACTGCCGACAGATTTTTGCTGACTGAGTTGATGTGTAAACTGGGCTTAGTGCTTATCAGCACCCCAGGGGGATTGCGGGTGACGAGATTGAGCGAACTGGACACGAGTGAGCCTTCACTTCACCCACTTCACTTTCACGGGAGTAATATCGCCATGAGAAAACTCACCGGTGGGAACCCCCATTTTTTCCAGTTAAGAAAGAATAAAAAAATAAATAGGACGCACGAGTCAGGGGGAGCCAGCAAAGTGGGAATTGTAATTGTCTCTGTACATGACATTTTGAAGCCATTATTCTGCCCACAGAGGGAAACTGGTGGCCTTGATGGAGGCATGTAAGCTGGCAGAAGGCAGAGCAGCGGCCATTTACACACAGCTGATATACCTTTGGAGTGACATGATGGAAGCACAGGGGATTTCTTACATCTACAGGAGAGCAAACTGTGCACCACCAACTGGTCTCTGACTTATTGCAGGAGATTCTTTTACCTAAAAGTCTAGCAATGTGTAAATGTCAAGCTACTGATTGTGTTTCCAAGGGTAATGCAGCAGCAGCCAAGGCAGCGGCAGCACGGCCGCCCATAAACACAATGTGTGCACAGAAAATGGCTGTGAAATTAACCCCGTGGTTTCAAGATTTGCAGGCACTACTAGAGCTACACAAAAGGAGAAGCAGCTGCGAGAAACAGAGAGGTGTGACGTGAGAGACGGGGTGTGGTGTGGTCCGAGCAGCAAACCGTCTCTACCAGAATACCTGTTTCCTCATTGTGTTCAACTGGCACATGGGAAGGATTATATGTCAAAAGGGGGAATGTACAGGACAATGGAGAGTTTGGGCATCGATCTTAGACAACACTATGCATGCCACCCTGTCTGTGGAGGAGCAGTAGTAAGGAAGAATAGGACAAATTAGCAAAATGCTAATGAAGATACGGGCTTGAACTGGGTAAAGCACGACCAATAGCTTTGCTGCATGAGAACCAGTGTAAGAACAAAGGTTAACATGAGCCTGTTGGAAAGACCCCCTAATACAGGTATCATCACCACAATCCAAAATGTCCACTGTCAGGGTCAGCACCCGTCCACCCCAAACCTCTCATGTCTCCTCCCCGTTTGGCCAGCAGGTGTCGCTGCCCATCCTGTTCTCCAAGTCCGTGGTGTGTTTCCTTAGCTACCAGGACTGCCGCATGGCTCTATGGACTGAGCGTGCTGCTATAAACCCTTTAATCGTGAGTTTGAGGTCAGCCGCCTCTGTTTTTGTGTCTATTAGATTTTGTTCCCTAGTTGTTCCTTTGTATGAGTTTTCTTGTTCCTGGTTTGCGTTTTGTTTTGGCTTTTGCTTTGTGCCCATGGTTATGCATTACCTGTCTTTGTTATATTCCTAGTGTTAGATTCTGTTCCCTAGTTTCTCTGTTAGTATCTTAGTTTTATTATTTATTTTATTAGATCCACCTGTTTCCTGTTTCCCTGTGCTTCATGATTGTTCTTACCTGTCCTGCGTTGTCTTGTTAGCCTTGTGTATTTAGGTACCTGCTCCTGTTCTGTTCTCTGGTCATTGCATGTTGATCACTCAAGGTTACTCTATGCTACTCTGTCTGGTGTTTTGTTTTCCCAATAAACCCCTGTTGTCTCTTGGAGCCGCAAATGGATCGTCACCACCTTCCTTTCTCTGCCTGCAAAACGCCCCGCCGCTGTAACAGTCCATGAGTATGTGCAGTGAGGAGATGTTGAAGTTCTGTGTGTGGTCGTCTCTTTTCGATCAGGTGAAGCTACACAACCTGAGACCTGGAAGCTGGATCATGATCAAGGACCTCCGGAGGAAGAATTGGAGGCCCAACTTGTCCAAGTGGTGACAGATGAAGAGGTTGGATGGACTGAAGTGGATTCCCCTGTTCTACAATGTCAGCGAGTTCCCCAGCGAAACCATTGCGTAATATTGAAAGTGACTGGAACGGATGATATCTTCTCTCTGAGATTATGTGCCTTTATGCTTCATGTTCATATGTTATTTAATAAAGGGGGAGGTGTAGTGGAAATTATACATTTATATGTAGTGGAAGATTATGTTTTGTGAGTATTTGCTATCATCACAAGGTACTGTCTTGCTTGCGTGAAAGGCGAGGGCCGTTTGGCAGCTGACCAGGAGGAAGGTCACACGGATAAATAGAGCTGGTTCTGACTGGTTCTCTTTGGTTACACACAGTGAAGATGGTAACTGAGCCTTTGTTCTTATCTCCTAGAATGATGAATATGAAGTATAAAGGAGCTGAACAAGAAAACAATTTTGAGCTCTCGTATGCGGGCACGGTGTCCCGGCAAACTCGATGCATCATATAACCTATTAAAAACGTCGCTGCATTCATTGGTCTTTGGCTGTTTTTCCACCACAAATGTTGCTTCAGTTCATTGAGGTTTGCAGGCATTTGTTGATGCGCAAGGTCCTGCCACAACATTTGTGTTAAAATGATGTGAGTGGGGTATAGGGCTTCTGAAGGAACAAAAAGGCACACTTAGGTCCCTTCAGAAAAAACTTTGCATTGAAAGGCAATGCAAAATAACGTCATATTACAAGTGATATCAAATAGTATTATATATCATAGGCAATAATAAGTGCAAAGATACAAATGATTATATATATAGAAAATGCAAATTATCACAAGCAATGATAATTAATCCCAATAATCAATGAAATGCACAAGCAGTTGCAAGCTATTCACACTCGGACGTGCCGTCATCACCCACCTTCACGCACGGATTGGGGAGCCCTTTTCAGTCCTGGCAGGAGACCAACACGTGAGTCCCGAGAAAATGCCGGGCGATGCGCGCTCAATCCCACGGCTGAGCTCCGGTCAACACTGGGATCTCCCCCTTCCTTTATACTAATTTTGGGGGCTGTGTGCGGACAGGGGACAAGCTGGCCAGGCTCACCCCTCCCCTCAGGCAATATGTTCTCAAATTTCCAATTTTGTCCAAGTAATGCTGATTGCGGTTTCAATCAGAAATAAGACAAGTTCCCATAATCAATGCGTTCCCCTCTTCCTGAGGGTGGGGTAAGTGTCCTACACACACTGACCACTAGGTGCCGTTTCAATCAGAAATAAGACACGTGTCCTAGAGCAATGTTTTCCCTTCTTCCTGAAGACGAGGATGTTTTCTTGGCACACTTTAGGCCCCTTAGTGCCAATTGGGCATCGTTTAAATGCCACGGCCTACCTGAGCATTGTTTCTGACCATGTCCATCCCTTTATGACCACCATGTACCCATCCTCTGATGGCTACTTCCAGCAGGATAATGCACCATGTCACAAAGCTCGAATCATTTCAAATTGGTTTCTTGAACATGACAATGAGTTCACTGTACTACAATGGCTCCCACAGTCACCAGATCTCAACCCAATAGAGCATCTTTGGGATGTGGTGGAACGGGAGCTTCGTGCCCTGGATGTGCATCCCACAAATCTCCATCAACTGCAAGATGTTCTCCTATCAATATGGGCCAACATTTCTAAAGAATGCTTTCAGCACCTTGTTGAATCAATACCACGTAGAATTAAGGCAGTTCGGAAGGCGAAAGGGGGTCAAACACCGCATTAGTATGGTGTTCCTAATAATCCTTTAGGTGAGTGTATAGCAAGTGTATGTGTCCGCTGTGACATTTAACATTTGAGAAATGTTTTTGTCAAAAGCAGCGTATAGATGAGGCAAACAGCACAAATATATGGCTGTCAAGAAGTCAACTAGGTGTGAGTACAGCTAGGCTGAGCTGCCAATGAATGGCTGGGTATGAGTGTAAGCAGTATTGGACCAAGCAAGATCTTAAGACTATTCAGTGAGCAGAAGTGCAACAGAACATTCATGGAACATAAAGAGACATCAAGCTAGGGGGGGAATTCATGGAACAGATGAGCCTTTAGTCATTTCTTAAAGGTGGAGAGGGAGTTTGATGACCAGACGTGGTTTGGCAGCTCATAACACCATTGCGGAACCACATACTGTAGGAGAACCATCTGGAGTGACACTTTTCACGTGGGTGGAGGGAGCTCCAAGCGGTGTTGTTTGACTGATCGAAGGA